TTAGTTCCTGCGTATCAGTTTAATCCTTCTTTGTATTATGTCAAGCTGCTTGCAATATATGCTTGCATATGGTACAGTCATACAGTCATTTGCAATTCAGTTATGTCATGAAAGATTTTTAAGTACAGAGACATATTTGCAGAAGTCATTTATGAATCTTCAAGTTTATAACCAGTTTTTAAGTACCTCTTCCGTACCTCTATACCAAATTTCAGGTCATTTGGCCCAAAAATGAAGTTGAATCCGTTTAAAGGAGTCAGGAGAAGGAGGAGAAGAAACATGAGTAAAAACAATTTGTCTTCACCACACCACTACTGTTAGCGAAGCCATAATAACAAATAACAAAACAACAAATGGACATCTACATCGTATGCCGATATCGCCGAGGAAAACCATTCACCGTATAGGCGGGGTAGCGAATCTTGGGGAGCGAACCAACGCTAACAAGGCTGGACTCCAGGCTACCATACTGCATTGTTAGATGTATGTGGCCGGGATCTAAATCTGAGGTTATATCAGCGTAAAATATCTCATAACCGTAGACAATCTCCCAGATCAAACTAAAGGAGTTGACATTTTGACTCCACAGGTCCCATTGAGCCTACTGAAGCCGGCCACGGTGAATAAATTGCTACAAAAATAACTCACGGCGCCCCAGTTGACGGGACGTCGCATCAACTGCGTCCCAATTCCCCAGCGATGATACGGTTTATATTCCCAGATATATAATCTCTGCGATGTCTCATCGAATTTAATTGAAAGATTATCCGGGAAACCACGAAAGATTGGATACGATCCGCCGTTAACAGGATATTACCCAAGATCGAGCATGTACCGCTGAAATTGCGTCCTAAAACGAACGCGTCTAAAATTACATTTCGGGCACGTTTTTCTAAATAATCTTTCCTTTTTATGAATATCACCCGTAAAGCTGCGGCTTTCCGTAGGAACTTATAATAAATAGAAAGCCAGGGAAGTCGTGTATCAGCAAATGAATGGTTAGGCAAATTTAAGCATACAAAGTTGTATGCGCCTTGAAGTTGTAGGCTTTTCCCCCTGGACGTGACTCGCGGAAACGCCTTGAAAACCGGCAGTTACCGGCAGTCTAACCTCAACCAAGAAACGTCTGTCATCTTTGCCGTCCAATAAGATATAAAATCTCCACTTACGGCCCGGGTAAACTCATTTTTTTAGCTACGTAGCGGGATTCGACACCCGCGCTCGCTGTGTCGCGGGGCGACGCGGTTTTGTTTATCTCTCAAAATGGCGGATATTACCCATCATGCATTTCGCGCCGGTAATGGCGAATAGGCTTATAGGTGATAAAGTGGGTGGGAAAAGAGATGAGACAGAGGCAATGATACGGTAGATCAACTAAGCTTTACCCCCAACCGAGAGAATCGTCATTAAACATGATATACGTTTACCATCACTAACTGGGTACGTCAACTCTGAAGAATTCTCGCCAGGTTGTAATGCCAGAAGACGTTTGAAAAAATCAATACAAACTTCTTCGGTCTGCTTTCAGGGTTTCTTTCTTTCAACAGGTTTTTGTTGTGCTCTCTACAATCAGAATTAGTTATGAATGAGATAGCAAGACACGTTGATGAAGGTACATTTAATGACATCCAGGTAAAATTATATGTAATACACTAAGCATTTATACGTAAATGCACTAATCATCAATAGTTAAATATGCATAGGTAAGTATATATGCCTTTTACTAATGGAGATCAGTTTAACATTATGAAACTTTATTTCTTTAACACTTTGGACGAATCTGAGAAAGAAGACCAAATATAAAACAGAATCCTTTCCAACCGAGACCTACGTCTTTCAACCACTGTTATCAGAAAAACAACATTAGTATTCTTAGGCCTGAGCCAGAAAATCACACGCCAAACGCAGACATCGTTCAACTTGATGAATTCTTCGAACTGAGAGTATATTTTTAGAGCTGTACGCGTGAGTTCAGGCAAGACGTGTGTACTCGTCAAGACCTGCCCAAGAGTCCCTTAAATTAAAGGCTGAAGTCGCACTGACGCATATCAAAACCTAATAAAGGCCTACTGTGAGTGGTAGCTACCCCCGGGTATTACAATTGCCTCCATGAAAAATGTAAGTATTGTTTCTGGTGTGTGTTTGTGTCAATGTGTATGTGTCTGTGTTTCCGCATTGCCATTTGGTAAGGTTGTAATGAATATGGTTATGTTAGTCTGTTGGAATATGTCCCAGACTGAGAAAGTCATTAATCACTTTTACATCTGTTTTACAGGTGGTTTTCATAAAATTATGACCTCTCTACACGAAAAATGCCTCTCCTTTTAACATCTATCCTGAACATATACATGTACATGTGTATTTCATCAATCCAACAAACACCTCCGTCATTTGGGTTTGGTAACTCGTTCGTAATCATCAAAATGTAATGGTATTATATAGCTACTACTAGTACTTTGGTCAAACTTTTAAAATCTGTAACGATATTACTCAAAGCACAGTAATTCTGCGCTGTATGGTGTTTATGCAACTAATTCAAATGTAAATCCCCATTATATTTATAACGCAATCAATAGAATGCAAGTCACGAAGGTCTAACGGGTGTTTTCCTGTTATTCATCTTTAGTAAATGGTTTAGCCTCACGTATGAATTCCGCCTTCTCTACAATGGTTAGTAGGAAGGAAGCTATTTTATACGGAAGAGAGAATAACGCCTACCCGGGTAATTATCTTTCATAAGTGTATCCTCTCAGAGAAACGAATCGTGACCAGGTGTGAAGTGACGTCAGCACGTGTCCCTCTATATTTCCGGAGAACTGTGCAGGGACAGGTCCATATTTTACCATATCAAGGGGTGAGACATCTTTTTTAAACACAGGAGTGTAGAATAGAGAAAGACTACCCAAGCCGTATGTATCTCGCTAAGTTGTAGCATATACCATTTTGTATCATTATGAAGGATTTAAACACTCGCCTAGTTCCGCAAACAAAGTTACGTGCTCACCAACAAGCCTGTGACCAGTCCTATGACCCCTCACAAGTTGAAATAACCCAAAGCCTTTAAAAAACTGTGACGTCATCTGTAGGTCAAGGTTTCCCGGCAATCTGTTTCGTCCCCCGTCTCGGTTGAGGGGAATAAGCGTCTAAAACCTTTAGAATGCCCATTGTCACCACAGACGAACTTTCATCCAGACGTTTTATAAGGTATTTCTAGTTACCCTTTCTTCTCTTTCTAAACCATACCTCATATGTTTACGGAAATCAACAAGCTGAGGCAAGCAATCACGTATTTTGTTTACCCCTCCATTTCCGCAATGGAAAAGTCAAATAAAGAAATAAAGAAGCATGAGTTGTTTATAGTTGCCAGTCCTGACCTCTTCACCATACCCCTCCCCAAATGGTCTGTCCCATACCGGGTCCAGAATGTGCAGAACGTAGATGCATTAAAACATGTCACTCGGTATCACGGCGCTATCAACACCGGGCGTGCGACCTGTTGTGCAGCGTTTCTTGAATTATGGATGCAATCGGCAGGATGCAATCATCGAGACGCTAACTAGCGACCAAAAAAGGGTTTATAGCAAAACAATTAAAGGAGATCGTGCGGTTTAGAAATAGCTGGTTGCTTAAAATACTCACATTGACGCAGACTTGGCAAAAGTTCGTCATGGCCTTTCGTGATGGGGGTGGGGGGTTGGTGATGACATTGAATGACGAACAGAGCGACCGTTGTACTTAGCAGGTTTGCGTTTGGGTTTCTTTTTATCTTGCTTCAGGGTACGCGCCTCACGACTGTGGAGGCGGTGAGAAAATGGACCTGAGAGAGCAACAAGACGGAATGACGAAGGGAAGCGAAAGAAAAATGACACAAGTATGATTATGTAGGCTTTAGAATCCTGTATATACGTAAATAACAAGTAAACCGAGAAATATGACATTTTTTCACCGATTTATAGTTAAAAACAGAAATCTGCTAGGCTTATATGGTCATAAGCAATGCATCAATAAACCATGCATCATCAACTCCATATGGTTGTACATATTCAATTGTCTCAAGAAGCAAGGAGAAGTTGAACCTGTAAATAGTACATGACATTATGTAAGTGTTATTGTTGTATTCTTTTCCCGGTCTATAATTCATGACATGTACTTAGCTTGTTAGAGCACAAACGTACAATAAAGGTTTTTCATTCATTAATGCCGCAGCATTCGCCCACCTTGCTTGGTATCTTGTGTTAGACATAACTATACGTTAGCCACATTCACTAGACTAGCAGGCCGCCACAGGCTTGGTGGGAATTGTGCCGTTCCAATGACGCTATCGGCGCTAGCGAGCGTCCATAAAACGTTATTTCTGACATACCGGGTGCTGTAAACACAGTATACTAGTTGATGACAGGTCTTACATAACGGATGGGGGTAAACGCGTGAGACTACCTGTAAGAGCCCATCTCCCTTTATGTGCATGGTCGATCCCGTACTGTACATAGTACTCAGATATGAATTATTCCTACCACGATTTGGGAAGTATAGAAGTTTTGGTATCAGTAGAACGTTTCAATAATCAATCTCCTATCATGAGTCCTTGAATCAGATAAAGATGAGTCAATTTGGCTACAAGGAACAAGTACAAACATCTAATAACATTGATTGACCGAAGAAATCAAAACATTGTAACACTCTATGGAATCCTTAAAGAAGAAGAAGATGGAATCGATAATTTATGCCTTCGTAACATATCACCACAAATCTTGTAAACCTCAATTCAGTTATTCAGTTATATATAT